TGGAGACATTTTGAACGTAAATTAAAAAGTCGGGCGAAATCCCTTCATCAAGTGCATTAATACGCTCAAACAGGCATGAATAATAATTACTGGTTAATGGTATTAGGTTATCAGAGTCGCGAACCAGCACTGAGTAACATTTTATTGATATTGTAGGCGTTTCTTGAAAATGCACCTGTTTTATAAAACATTTGTAATAGAAATAAAAGATATGGTGTAAAGAAAAATAAATCAGAAAATAGTGAATAGGGAAAACAAGAAAGGAGGCTAAATAAATTTGGCTTTAAAACCGTAAAGTTAACAAGTGCATCAAGAAGCGCATGACTACACCCCAGTTAAAAATATTAGACGCTAGCTGTGGAGCGTTTTAAAAAATTCGTTAGCCTGAAGAGTATTTCAGCTGTAAAATATAATGATGAAAAACGTAAAAATGTTTTCCATTTTATCTTCCTCGCATTAAGCCTTATTTCGCTATTACAAAATAGTGTTGGTTAAATGCATTTTATTTTCATGTGGTTTAAAGAGTTGTTTTATTTCAATCTTATAGTCGAGGTATTGTGAGAAGTAACAACAAAGATGTAGTTTTATTTGAAACGATTTTTTTTGTCTGTTATGAGGATTAAAGGGTGTAAAATCTTATTTGCAGGTTTCATTAGCTACTACAGCCGAAAAACAATGATGATCCCAAACTTTTTTTTCTTTTTCCTAAAGTTATCAGTACTAGTTTCCTGAAAAATTTCAAAAGATTTAATGTGTTTATAAATAATTCTAATTTTGAATATATAATACCTGTTACAAATCTGTTATTTTATTTGTAGATGCTTTAAACAGCAAATGTTTCTGTTAGACATTTCTGTCAGACCCGAGATTGTAGATAAAATAACTGTTATCCTTTACCTAACCAAAGATATATTTTCTTTTGTTATTCTTCCGCAATGGCTGTTACAGTAAACAATCGAGGCAAAATAAGAAAGAAATTTATAAATACTTTAATTTACTTAGATAAAAATAATACTTATATTATAGACTATTTTTTTTCCCGAAATCCATCCCATTATATGCTTACTCTTATTTATGGTATTGGGCAAAAAATTAATCCTTACTGAATTGATCTTCATATACATATATATTTAACAGATACAACTTTAATATGTCTTCCTGCTGGGAAAAGTTCTTCCATGTATAGAGGATAGGCGCATATTCCACATTCGCAACTCCATTGCGGATTAATAGACTTTCATATCATTTTTTCGATAATATGGTTTCTTCATGACGGAAACAAACTTAATTGCTAGGCACACGATAAGTCAGCAATAATTTCATTTGCCCCCACACCGGGATTTCAACTTAAGTTACTCGTGTGTGCTTTGTTAAAGCTCTTTAGAAATATTAACTGGTACGTCGATGCAAGAAAATATTGAAAGATATATAAAATGCCATGAAAACCATCAAAATTTAAAATTGTTATGGTCAATATAGCACTAACAATTAAGTTAACGAATGTTAGGTTTACTTTGTTTTATCGTGCTAAGTGGGTAGAAGTATAAATAATTTTACCAAATCACCGTAGTTTCACTTTGCACAACAATAACACTGGTATAGTTACTTATTTTATCACTTTAGACAAAACAATCACAACTATAACGACTTAATTTATAACACTGATTGGGCAGCACTATCACGTACACTTCTTGTTGACACCCAAGGAGGAAGACCATGAAATGCTTCGTGCAGCTTCATTTATACTCCATAGAATGACACTTCTTTTAGTGTTGCCAACACGAATTTATTTTGATGACGGCCTTCCAATAAGTTCAAAGTCGACAAGGCAAACATAACAAGGCAGTATCACCTTAGTTAAACGCATGCATGAGCATATTCGCGGCCCTACCACAGCGGAGGGCCCAAATCCGTGGGTTCTGGCTAGCCCACCGTTTCTGCGTCAGCTGAAGCTTTAATAGTCTTGGGACTGAAAGCAAAAACATCAGTTAATACAAGAAACAAGAAGGCAGTATCAAGTGGCAATAGATAATGAAGAATAATGATTTGCTCGGAGTCGTAATAATTAAGCGTGGAGTAGACCGGCTTTTGTCAAGTTAATCTAATAAAAGCGAGCCGGCCGTGGAGTGTGCAGTCCTTTGTTTGAAGCAAGACCTTTATTGTACCGTGGAGCGCTCGTTCGGTAGTTCGTAGTTTCTTCTCTATTTCTCACGTAATTCATCGCGATATTTTATAAATTTTCAATATCAAACTAAAATATTTAAGTCAAATAAACTATTTTATACTACGACAGTAAATAAAAAAGTCTCCTCTCTGTGAATAAAATATTATTATCATTCGTTAAGTGTCGTGATAAGTACTAAAAATTTGTAACATTTATACCTACATAATATTTTATTGATTTTTATGATACTTAGAATTTTATATATTATATTTATTATTATATTATGTTATATATTATGGATGTGGAAAAATATTTTTACATCAATTACAATATAAAAGGTTCACTGTAAAAAAAATCCCATGAATGTATTTTTAAGCGTATTAGTGCAGACGAAGGGAAAGTGGCTTAAAATTTTAATGATATTTAATATTCGCAGAAACATTCGCAAAGCCGTTTCAAAACTTTTATTGGAATAGTTGGACATCCAAGCTCAGCTCGGTCGTGCGTCCATAGAGAGTAATTGCTTTTTTACGATCTTCTGTTTTGTTTCGTAGCAAATAATTGGCATCGATGTTATTGTGCAAGGATTAATTTAATGTTTTAATAAACAACATTTCGGACGCAATTTTCCTTAAATTTTAATGTCACATAGTATATTATGAACCAATGAATAATATGTTTGCTGTACTATGTACTATCCATGAAAGAAATGTACTACAAAATGCCAAACAAAATTACATCTTCCATATGAGAAAACAATTCAAAATATGTCATATATAGATGTCGTATCTTGTATTAATTTTTTTGACCGTGACTTTTTTTTGTTCCAGGATGTGAACTTCTCCGTCAATACATCAATGACGTTAGATTTTAAATGACTACTGTGGACAATGCGGTCACAGGCTTCGAAACCCTTACCTAAGAAAGGTGCACTGGTTAAAACAGTTTTCAAAGGAAATTCGGCTTCTAAACCTGTAAAGAAAAAAGGAGCTACACCCAAAAGGGCAACAAACCTTCAAAAATGTAATACAAAATGTCCCAAGAAAAATACGCAAAAAGATGAGGCTTCCAGTTCAAAGAGTGATACAACTCCTCCAGTTGAAGAAAAAAGTGATGTTCAATTGAGACGCCCAAAGCAGAATCTTCCAAAACTAGTCAGTCAAGAAGTAGCTCGCCCGCAAAAAAAATCAAGAAAGAATCAAAAGAAAAGAAAGAATCGACTAAAAATACTCCTATCAATGTAGATACTAAAACTGTTATTGCTAAAAAATATATAAGACCACCTAAAAAGACTAAACCAGTTACTAACGCTGATAAAAGTGAAAAGAAAAGTGATGATGTTAAGTACAAAATTAATTTAGATGCCGTGAAAAAACCGGTACCTCCAAAAGTCCGACCTGTAAACAAGAAAGGAGTAAATCCTAAGAAGAAAGGTGTTATTATAAAATCAGTACCCGAGGAAAAAGAAAAGCTCATTGAAGATGCTAAAGACAATGAAAAAAAAGTAAATGAAAATAAAGATAAACAAGAATCTACAAAAACGTGTGAAGCAACACCTAACTCGTCGAACGAAAAGAAGGATGATATTAAAACTCAAGGTAATGCAGAAAGCAAAAGTAGCTGCTACAACACTACCTTAAAAGGCCCTTCGACTAGTACCTCATCAGGCCAAGAAACATCTAAAACTGAACCTGATCGTCCTCCAAAATTTTTTACATCAGTCCGGTCTCCCAGGACCGTCGATATAGATGTGAAATGCTGTAAATACTCTAAAGGAAACATTAGCGCCTCCGAAAGATTCCTGACTATGAAATGTGAAACTAAAAGCGACGATTACAATAAAGACAAAAATTCATCAAAACATTTGGTATCACCAGGAGCAGAAATTGATGTTTATACATTCACAGACAAAGTTGATTCCCCAAAGAGCATTTTATCAGATTTTCGTAATACAAGTAACAAAAGTATTGGTCGAGTAAGACCAATAGCTCGAGTTAAAGGAACTGTTATTGATAAAAAGACAGACTTGGAAAGAAAAAAGTTTTCTCCTCATAGACCTATAGAGGAAGTTGTGAAACAGCTTAAAGCCAATAAACGTTCAGAAGAAATTTCCTCAAGTCAAACGCAAGCAGGTGATCCATTATCTAACTCAGATCCGATTCTCAATACTAATGAGAAGGACATTGTAGATAAACCTCAACCTATCGTTAGCAAGTCATATAAAATGGTGGCTCGTAAGTCTAGTATAACTGGAAAACCTTTTTCTCCTATCAAATTCTTCGAACAAGGGCCTACTTCCCCGAAAAGCGAGAAAACTCCTACTCAAGTTAAAATTGAAGTAACAAAGCAACCAGTAATAAAAAAACAACATAAGAAAAGTTCACCGCCAGAGGAAGATATACAAAACTCTAAGTTCTTATTAAACAAAAAATCTGTCAATTATACTTCATCGGAAGAAAGTGTTAATGACTCAAATGATGACAATGAGTCAAAAGAATCATCTGGATCTGATACGTCTAGATCCAAGAAGACAAAAAATAAAAAGTTTAAAAGGATAACGGATACTCAGAAAAAAGCAACGTCAAAAGAATTAAAAGAATTATCTAAAGATTCTCTTACAGATCTAAAAGATAATTTTGCATTATTATGCAATGAAAAGCCCAGTAAGAGAAGATTAAAGTTGTTGTCGATGTGGGCCGGTCCCAAAAAGCATAGAATGGCATCATTGAATGCTTTAGCAAAAGTACATTGCTTATATGAAAATGAAAGCCGAACCCATATGGAATTAGGTTTAATGAAGACAATTGATCGACAAGCGATACCAAGTACGTCTAAAATGACATCACTGAAAAAGAAAGAAACTAAGTCGAAAGAAGCAGACAATAAAGACAGCACTTCGGAATCGGAATACGAGGTAAAAAAAGACAAAAAGGAAGAAAGTTCTGAAAGCTCTGATGACAATCTTCCTCAAAGAACTTTACGTGGAGTACCAGGTATAAGAAGTGCGGGTAAATATTGGGACCCGAAATCATCTACATCATCTAGCGAAGAAAGTGAGATGGAATTAAAAACGAAATCTAGCAGCCCAGAAAAAAAGAAAACAACTTCGAAACCTCCAGCTGTAAAATCCGATAGTGAAAAACCTCCCTTAAAAATGAAAAAGACTTCTGGTGTTCCGGTCAAAAAGAAACGGAACAGAAATGAAGTGGTCATGGATTTAAAGGACATGGTCGTACAAAAGCGAATGGCTAGTTTAAATGCTACCGCTATATTAGCAGCTAGTTACGAAAAACGTTCTCCAAAGTCTAGTAAAGATGACACAACTTCGGATTCGTGCAGTGATGACTCTTTTACTCACAAAACAAAAAACGTTCCCAGTGCAAGCGTAAAGTCTGAAGTTAAAAACGAAGATGCCAAGAAAGAAAACGAGGAGGGTTCTTTGAGTGATAGAAAACAGAAAGTCGAAGTAATTGTTAATCAGGACACGGATGTGACGATAACTGGAGTGTATTCGACACATCATCATGAGGGTTTTTGTACTGTATCTGGAATGCAATACCGTATTTCTTCTACTAGTCACACCCAAACTACTGCAACTGCAAACTGTGAAAAGGTAATTATTTAATTTTGTTTTCAATCACAGAATACAAACAAGAAATTGTTAATTACTAAGTCCCACAAAAATATTATTCACTATCAATTAACGAGATTACATTTTTGAATTAGAAAATTTAGCTCCGGGCGTTTCGAACCTCATTAAATCCCGGTAATAAAGTAAGTTCTACGTAAACACGCCTCGGGTATTCATGCACACATTACCCTTCCTCGCTTAAACCAAATGAATATGAACATTGAAAAGTAAGCCCTTTGTTAGTAGAGTAAACGGCGAGTTTTGAACGCGGGCTATATATCGGGGCGTAAACGATTTACGTGAAAGAAGTTATGTAACCCTTGACGCAGATTATATTGTCTAGAGCGTTAAAACTTATTAACGTTATGTTTAACACTAATCCCTGATGAGGATATGCGACCTAATTTATGAATGAATGAGCAACTGGTCGGACCAATAACAGATACAAATAAGCATTATAAAGAAACAAAGACACTTATTTGTCGTTGAATTTTATTGTTGTTGCATTATAAAGAAAATAAATTTTATGTATAATTTATACATTTTGATAAACAGGATGGTTGTCCTCGTGACGAGGGATCTCGATACACGCCGCTTTCTGCATTGTCGTCTATGCAGCCTCCAGCGGAGCACACTCATACTCATCCTGCTCCTGGTATGTATTTTTATATTAATCTATATGGACTCTAAAATGCCGGACAGATGAAATTTTCCATATTATTGATATATATGAAATCTCCATATAAATATCCTGGCAAAATAAGACTACAACGGCAAAATAATATTACCCAATTTCTTTAGTAGGCGTGCGAAAATGTTTATTTTGTTAGAGGAATATTGTAGAAAGCATTTTCGTGTCGGTGTTTATTGTGTAAATAATAAACGTTCGCTTAGCTTCAAAGTAAAATATAACATACTTTCTCTTGAATCTTTTGCGCTAGCACGATGGTATATTGTACTTAGCCCTAAAACATCATATAGTGGCGCCGATAACTGACTGGCATTCGGCCAAACGTGCAGATGTCAACGCAGTCTTGGCCTCGAGAGGTGCTCTTTCAATTTACGATAACTCCTATTAACATAATATAACAGTTTTCTGTACATTGCTATGTGAATAGAAAATTCGAATTAATAAATACCTTATTGTTGAGAATATTTTCTTATATAATTGACTGCGATTCTTTATTTATACCCTTTGATTGGCGGACACTGCTTTGGAGTTGCAAGTGTAAGTTGGACTTCGACAACTATTTTTTTTTTACTACGTAAAGCAAACATATATCCAGTTTATAGTGTTATCTAACCTACATGTAATTTACATTAAATTGTGAACTAAGTTAGATAACAAGAATTTTTTGGTTTGCAAATCTTTACCGTTTAATCATACATATTAAGAGTATCTCACAATTTGCTACCTTCAAATTGCTGCAGACTTTATAACGGTCCAAGAAGAAAGGTTGTTTCTACAGAAATGCAGTACATTGGTTGCACCAGCGTATTTTTGTGGTATAAGTAAAGAGCGGCAAAACCAATAGTTAATTTATTTCTGAGGCAATCTAAATAACTTGGAGAGAATACGTTAATGTTTCCTTTCCTTTAACAATAATTGTAACTTTTTTGGATTTACACAAATCGTTTTACACCAATTGGGTTTTTATGTACAGTGTTATTTACGCAAATTTGTGTAAAAAGAAACAAAAAGTAAATGAAAACGGATACCTTCTTTTTAATGCTCCCTTGTTCGAATGTATTCAGTTGTGGAGGGTTTATTCCGCTATCCCTTATCACTTGCATGTTATGATGGCCTGTACCCGAGCTGGCAGCGTTCCAACTCTCCCTATTCCGTAGATATTAAAGAGCGGCCACTTATCTAAGCAGCCGTCCAACGGCCAGACTCCAAATCAGCACTATCGAAACTATTTGATATTCAATTTAATGTTGGCAATCGGCGATATTTAATGAAATCTGCTGCAATAAACACGATCCTGCCTAATAATATCAAAGGCTATTTTAAAATCCGCTGCTTTCACTCGGTTGACATACATAAAAGGGATTTTTATTTTCACGTGACAAGTGTTAAGTACTTAATATTGCCATTAACAATTTCATTGGTTGCCGGCACCGAAATTTGAACTCAGGTGGCTTGAGTATTTTAAATTAAAAGCGAGCACCTGGACTCTAAACTATATAGCTCAGTGTCTATTATTTTGGAAAACCAGTGGTCTAAGCTTAGTTGAATTGTAATTTGTTAAGTCACTACATAGTATAAAACAAAGTCATCCCGCTGTCTGTCCCTATGTATGCTTAGATCTTTAAAATACGAAACGGATCTTGATGCGGTTTTTTTAATAGATAGTGATTCAAGAGAACAGTTTATTTGTATAATACATTGAACCCGTGCGGAGCCGGGTCGGGTAGCTAGTTAGTTATAATATTAACTATGTGTCCGCAGATACCTTACTATCTCGATGTTTCTAAGAGTAAAAAATGAGGAGTAAGATCTAAACCGTTGTGATTTCCTTCCCGCGTTTATAACACTTAGCGCCCTAGCGACATTATATTTATTTAATACGCGTTCATTAGCAGTCTAAGCAGCGAAACCTATTTGTTATCACACCAAGAAAAATAACGTCGCCGTTCCTTTGCGCAAATAACTGGATACAAAGAGGCAAAATAACGGAAAATGAAAACGCGACGAACACTGGAATTGTTTGTGTTAGTCATGAAACCCTGACGCTAAGCGACTCGCCGGGTCGGCTTTTTGTTTTGTTCGCTGAAGGGATAAATGCAGTAAGGACGCTGAGATATGTTTGAAATGTAAGCAAACTTGTTTTAAGTAAATGTTTGGCGGCATTTAGAATTATTAATGATTAGATTTAATATTTATAGATAAGTTATAAGTTACAAAATTATCAATAATGTTATTCAATTCATTCGTTGTTACACTAACTTGCATTTACCATATAACATATATAATGATAAAAAAACAACTTAAAAATTTAAACCATTGTCTAAACTACAGAATCAATGTATTTTTTTAAAGTACTCATAATATTTTAATATGGTTTACTCATCTACTAGGCACTTGGTTATTTGAGAAAAAGTTAATTTTAATTTTTTTATATTGATTTTTGTTATTAATTAATCCTTGAAACAGGATAAATATATTCATAAAATAATTCATAAATCATAAAAAATCATTCTCTTTTAAAATTAATGATGAAGTAATTATAAAATGATTCGCGGAAATTTGCAAATGATAGCTTCATAAATGACCATGATGATTACTGTTGAGTTTTTCCTCTTCCCAGCGATTGATGGGCTTTCTTCTTAATTGTTCGTTTGGGAAAAAATATGTGTAATATGATGGAAGTACACAATGAATAATGCCGTAGAAATAAATCTCTTATTTATTTACGATTTGCAAAGCGTTCCTCCGTGACTGTCATAATTTATAATTTCACGTTTTCTCAGAAGTTGCTTAGACGTATCATCTTCGCTATGATAATGGAAATTATGAGCATCTTCAAGCGCGGCCCTTGTGAGTCTCGAGTCTGGAGCAGACATAATTTAAATGGATACATAATACATTTGCAGTAATAATATTTACGTCGTTGTATAACGCTGATTTTTCAAATATGTAGACGATTTTTCTGATCAATCCAGAGTTTTACCATGCTTTTGGCAACTCAAATGATATTTTGTGATTAGTTTGTTACTTTTTGCACTGTGGTAGGGCCACTCAATGGTGTTCACTGTTGCACGAATGGGCAGGTCCGTCCGGATAAGTACCACGACCTCACAGAAGACCGGCGTAAAGTAGAAGTGTTACACTTCTGCGTTTCGTCTGGTGAGTGAGGTAGCCGGAGCCCTCTTTATTTAAAGGTGGCGACGCTTATGTCCTTGGGCGACGGTTATCACTTAACATCAGGTGAACCGCCAGCTAGTTTGCCACTTTGTCACATAAAAAAAGAGTTTTTAATTTATATTAAACCAATATACTCGAGCAACCTGCATGAAATTGCTAAATCAGTGTTAAAAGTAAGCACTATGATGAAACACGTGAAATATATGGCCTTAGACTTTGCCCAAATACGTATACAGGCTGTTACTTTATATTTTTTTTTGAGTGAAACTTCCTTACAGATAAAATTTGCGATTGAACCCGAACCTCGCTGATTGTCTGAGATGTCATGAGCTCGAGCGAGGAATAAAACTCTCGACATTCGACTAACGGGTTTAACTAAATCCCATGGCAAACGTTGTTTTGCAATATATATTATTTGTAGGGTAGAAAAATATTTTTGGGGGGGACCACCCTTAACATTAGGGGGATAAAAAATAGATGTTGTCCGATTCTCCACCCTGGCCGATATGTACACAAAATTTCACGAAAATCGGTCAAGCCGTTTCGGAGGAGTTCATTTCAAGTGACATTTTACCACAGTCAATCACTTGCTTTGCCTTCCCGGAACCCCTCCACTAACACTTAAATTTTATGGTATGGTATTAAAGTTCAAATTGACTTTTAAGTACCTGGAAGACCTGGAGTTTTTTTTTTGTAAATCATGTATTTTGGAAATTACATTTAGATACAAATTACTGAGTAATGAAATATGCACAATATTTTTCGATCTTACCGACGTAATAATGTGAAATTTACCGTCGTATTCGAGTGATATTTTTCATTCCCTGAAAACTGGGATAAAACTACATTATCTAAAAATAAAACTTTGCCAGATCGATTTTTCGCCCCCGAATCTATGCACATACTAAATTTCATGAAAATCGCTGGAGCCGTTTTCGAGATTCGGATTATATACATATTGCTCGCTTAAAGGTATTAGATTACGTATCTTTTGTACGGGAAATAGGGATTCATTTTTATATAAATATATAGATTAGTTAGTTAATTCTGTTTTATTTGTAGTACCCGAACTGGGCGGACTTGGCCGTCGTGCTGGCTGCTCCAGTGCCTTCTCAGCGCCGTCACCATCTGCTCATCACGATCCAGGTATGTTGTCACTCGTAAGTCTGGCGGTTAGAATAACGTTACATTGCTTTAATAAATCACACACACACACACACAAGATCATGTTAGATTATGTAACGCTTAACACGCTTAAATTATTCTAAGTAGAATGATTCGAACATTTTATTTATAGGGAATATTATGCTTTCTAATCCGAAACTAATCAAGCTGACGTTAAAAATTACTGTCACTGTATTGACACTGATTGTTACTGAAGACATTTTTATATTTATTCTTCTCCCTCTATATATTTTTGTAAGTTATTGCATAGTATATGTTTAGTTTTATGTATGTCTATTGTATCTTATTAATTGGTATATATTAGTATATTATTATTAAGTATACAAAATATAATAATTATGTTCGTTTAGTTTATTTAGATCTTAGTATGTAAGTTATCATTTGCACCACCTACCGTTGTCCAAAATATTATACTTTTTTTTTTATGTGAAAAGTTGCCAAACGAGCAGACGGTTCACCTGATGGTAAGTGTATACCGCCACCCATGGACATCTGCTACACCCGAGGGTTACAGATGTGTTGACAACTTTTGAAAATTGGGCTCCGGCTACCTCACTCACCAGACGAAACGCGAAAGTATTTGTCATACTTCCACTTTACGCTGGTCTTCAGTGAGGTCGTGGTACTTACCCGGGCGGGCCTGCCCATTCTTGCAACAGCCGAGGCTGCTGCGTGGTCCTACCACCGTATACTGCAATTTCAGCACGTATTTCAATAATGTAATACGAATTTTAAATAATTCTACAGCGTTGAGAAAAAAAGGAACTCTTTCGTTTATTCCGAAAGTTTCGATTGACTAAAAATAGTTTTAGTCGTTACGAACATGCGCAAAAAATTGTTTGTCAAAAGATGCTATACTTTTCTAACGTCATATTTTTCAAAAATTAGGAAATTGTAAAATCTTATAAATTATCAATCACAAATTAAATATTAAAATGCTATATTAAGCAGGTTATTCAAAGCTTAATGTAATGGTAAGTTATTAAACTGTTATTTAATTTTGCGACGTTTTAATGCTTTTATTGTTTTGTATAGTACATGGTATTAAATTGTATTAACACACAACGTTAACACAGGCCTTAAAATATAGTTGTATTGAAAGGTATAACTAAATATGTCTAGAAAATGATTGTTACATTATTTAAAAAATAACTATATTTTCTTAATCCAGTATTTTACCAGGAGTGCCCACTGAATAACAAAGCAAACTCTTTTTCATTTATATTTTTATGGAAGATGTCTATTCTCGATCATAGAAAATTATTATAACGTCATTCTTCTCAAAAATTTCTTTACGGAAACGATCTGTAATGTTTATAAGGAGAGTACAAACATAACATTCGTGGTTTTCTAGTTCAAGTTACAATAAGATAGTTTTAAGTTTCTGTTTGCATTTATTTGCAAGGTTAAGTGCACATTGTCAGTGCTTTAAACAACTTAGTCCCGTGATGTAACTTTCAGAGGGCTGGCTGTGCTCAGTAGAGAAATTCTTTCTACAGTCGCCCGCTTAAGTAATTAATTCCTTTGCTGGGCTGTTTTAATAAATCTCAGTCAACTTAGACATAATAAATGTTGTTCTCAACTTTTAAAGTTTTAAATCTGGAATCATTTGACGTCTGAGTTCTGTTTTAAGTCCTGTAATCTGCGCTTCAAAGTTTGCCCATTTTTCCCATTTCTATTCCAGTTTAAATAATTTTAGTGAAGAACTTAGTTTATGCGCTAAGATATAGGTTTAAAATAAGCTCTACAATGATAGCACAATGACTCAAGATAACTTACTTAAGACTGGTGTAATACAACAATCCAAGCTCCCACGACTTTTTACGCTAACGGAGTAGACAGATGATAATGTTGTGCACGTCTCATTATGATTTATATAAAGCTTTTTGATTGTTAACTGTATTACAATAATTACCCTATCACATGTTATGTATATTAGTTAGGATAACACAATTTACATTTTATATGACGGGATAAAAGGTTTTTTTATGTGAAAGGTGGCAAGCAAGCAGGCGGTTCACCTGATGTTAAGTGAAAACCACCGCCCATTGACATTTACCACACCCGTAGGTTTGCAGATGCCTTTACCCGTAGATTTGATAACACTTCCACTTCACGCCGGTCTTCCGTGAGGTAGTCGTACTTACCTGGACAGGCCCGTCCAGGTAAGTACGACTACCTCACGTACCCTTTCGTGCTACAGCGAGAACTCTTGCGTGGCCCTACCCCAATATACGTTTTAATCATTTCTTCGTGTATTTTTAATATCAGTTTTGTTTTAACCTGTTCGAATTCATATGATTTTTCGTAATGCCTACCACCCTTCAGCAATACACAATTCCCGATTACTGCGGGTCCAAAACACTCGCGGACTTGTTTGCTCGTAGAAAACTTTAGAACTGAGACTCCACTATGTGAAGCGTCGAGAAGTGGTTTAGTCTCCGGCGGACTATGAATTAACTGCGTTACCTTCCACTCGAGTTTCTTCGCGCCGCTTGCACTCAGAAGTCGCACGTTAATATTCATAGAAAGCTTTGTGAGCCTCTCTTAATTTGCTACGTTTGCTGCGATATTCGTTAGGGCTCACTCATTTCTTTTATATTAGTTTTTGGTAAAACTACTTTTAACTAACTGTGGACGTACTCCTAGAACAGAACGATTATTCAGATATAGATCTGAAAACCTATCCTAATTTGTTTAATTGATAACGATAAAGTGAATAGAATATGGAGGACTAGACACGTTTAGCAGGTTTTAAAATTTATACACCTACTTGTTGCGCGACATTAACAAATAACACATCTTGCCTTGAACAAACTAATTTTAGACTGTTCATTATATTTTTTCCCTGTTTATACTTTATTTTCCAATGTATATTTATAATAACGGTGGATATAAAGTACTTTTAAAAATATACATTAAGCACTATCTTCAACATTATTTAAAACATAAGTCTTTTCATTTGAAATTCAATCATTAAGTTCATATAAACGGTATGCAGTAAAATTTAACACGGCCATGGTTGGAACATTCATTGATATATTATTTATTTTACGAACAGGAAGTTGTACTGTGCGTATTTATTCGATTGTGGTCTCGTAAATATTTGATATCGAACAAACGTGCTTGTCAGTGAATGTTTTACTTTATAGTCATTCACTTACCGAATGGATGACGAATTGAATTTCAAATTACACATTCACTATATATTATAATTTTCAAGTACAACTTGTCATTAGAACTTGATTTATCAACCATAATCTGCATAAGTACAAAAATATTTTATTATTTATTTAATTACCTTCAGTAACGGATTCAATATTCAAGCGATTTTTTGTCTTTATTCTATTGCAGCAAATCGGTCGTGAATCAGTTAAGGACGAACGACCATCGAGAGTACTTCCGCACGGAGAGAGCCTGGCTTTTAGTGCATTTCTCGTACAGTATCCGAGTATTACTTCTCCACGACTTGCGTTTGGAAATATGTCTTTGTTTGACGGATTTGTCTCAAAATATAGCCGTTTGTTATACAGTAACTTTTAAACTTATTATAACGATCGTAATTTTGACTCAATGGCGCTGTTGCTAAACTATTGGCTTCGGCGTCAAGGGTCTTGGGTGTGACTCCTAAAATGTACTTGTTTAATCCACAAATAGTTGTCCCGGATCTGAGTGTTTGTTTCCCAAGGAGGGTTGACGTCAGGCAGGTCGGTCGTAAAAAACATAGCCAAGACCGCTGACAACATGATTCACATGTTACATTCACGCCGACTCCATCTAGGTGGGTTAAGGGCAAGAGGATGATGATGACTAATGATCATTATTTTGATATTCTATACCCTTTACTTCGTGCCGTAACGACTATTATATACCGGAATCGTCTAAAGAGTCGTCTATCTAGTATAATATGTTAACAATCTATATATCTATATAGATTGTTAACATATTAACTCCCAGATTGATGATTTAACATTATCAAATAAAATCTTATTCATATATTTCTATTCGTAGTCTTCAATGAAGAATATAAGTTAAGGATTCCACAAAACAGTCGTGGTTTCAGTATCTGTTTAAAAAGTTATTCAAAGGTTTGGAAAATATTCAAAAATTTCATCGTTCCATAATTCATTTCAGCGGAAATTTCCATGACGCAGCGGAACCACTTTGCATTTCAATCGTTTTAATTTATTGAGTAATGGATACACGTTTTGACATTTTCGCTTTAAAAATATTAAGATGTAGATCTTTCTTAACTTTGTGTTTTAGTGATCATAAAGATGGTACAATTTGCTGTGTACAACATTATGCAAGTAGTTATGTTTTACCATATACTATTTGTAATTCGTAAAGTGTGTTCTTACTACTGGCATGGGAATTGATAAATGTAAGTCCTATTCAGCTTAGAAACCGTATTTACTATGTTTCAACAGCCAATTGAAGCATTTTTGATTCGCACCGTTCCACACAATTTTCGGCCAAGGAAAACTATTTAGGTTAGTGACGATAAGCTTGTGGTATTTATGGAACGTATGCGGTCAGAGGGCCTGATTTCATAGTTATTCGCCATAGTTTTTCTATTAATATAACAAACATCTACGTTTACTCTATTTAAAGCTATGGCCTTATGTATTGGCTTAACATATTTCTCATGTTTGTCCACGCCTATAGCGTAAAAACTCCAGTGTTATAAAATCTAAAGTCGGTAATAAATAAAAATGTTTAACACGAATTACTTTTCTGTAAAAAAATACTGTTGATTTATATTTTGACCTAAAACAATCACTAATCTTCTCCATATTCCGATTTAGGCGTAACTAGCCTTAACTTAATTGCTCTCTATCACCATACATAAAAGATTAACTCGAAGAAAATGCTATCATTAGGTTAGCCTTTGTACAAACTTTTGGTAAAATAAAGAATTTTGCATCAATTTAAATCAATCAATACGTTAGTGTGTTACGTTAAAGTTGATAAATTACGATCGTCCATAAATAGCAGAAAAAATTCCTTGTTAAAACACAAGGAATTTTTTCTGTTTACCCATATAAAACATGAATCATCAAACGCTCAACGTCTGTTGCAGACGATTTAACCAGTTACCTTTCCAACAGAGAAGGTGTTACAAATGTAAATAAATATAATAAAATATTAAATCTCTCTTACAAAATTCTACGAAGCGTGGAGAAGCTCTTTGGTCTTTCCCTGAATACGAATTAGCTGCATTAGCTCCCACTTTACAGCTCCTAACGGCACTTGGACTGCTAAGCTAAGTTACGTGGTTAATAAGGCTCCGTAGATCTCACAATTTGTGTTTATGCTGTTCCTTCATTCGTAGCGCTTTAACAAGAAAATCTCTTATTGCTACGATATAAATCAAAACCAAAGTGTATAACATTCTTCTACGTAGCTCGACTAAGTTAGTACTTTTAGTACATTTCATTATTTAATACTATTTTATTTTTAATAATGCTAGGGCCACGAAAGAGTCCTCGCTGTTGCACCAATGGGCAAGTCCACCACGACCTCACAGGAGACCAGCGTGAAGAGGAAGTGTTATGCTACTGAGTTTCGTCGGGTATGTGAGGTAGCTGGGGCCCACTTTATTAAATGATGGCTACGCAAAATGTTAGTGGGCGGCGATTATCACTTAACATCATGTTAACCGCCAGCTCGATTGTCACCTTCTCACATAAAAATATAAAACAAAATCTTCATCAAGTAGGGCTACGCAATAGTTCCTGCAGTTGCTCGATTAGGCAAGCTCTTCCCGGACAGTACCACGGCCTCGAAAAATAGATTAAATAAATAAAATTAATTCAGTAGTTTAAAACTTAATTTTGTACCTTAAATTTAATAATAAACTCAATTTTTTTGGCATTTATTCAAAAAGATGAAGGAAAAAGGAGAGGAAACAGGCCCGAAGAAATAAATAGCCCGGAAAACATTTTGAATGCTTCAGCATACAAATGGGATAGTCCAATTTAGAGATACTGGAGAAATGGTCACGCCTTGAAATTGTAATTTAATTCATACCATCAAATAAATATTCCAATATTTGGTTATACTAATTGAGTTATTCTAGTTTATCTTTTTTAACTTTTGATTAAAACTATTGTTATTATGTATTTACGATCTCAAATAGCCTTTATTATTATTGTAAGTAAGTTTGAGAATTTATTGATGCAATCCACCTTTACAGCAGATCGTGCCGTGATAATAAGCCAGACTCAGGGCAACCAAGATGATACGAATCCATTCCAGCATTAAAACGCGCATCGAAACCGGTAGTCATATTCAATAAACGTAATAAGTTGCGAATACTGGAAGCCATCAATTGTTATTGCCGCGAACAATAATGACGGATATTAACCAATCGACAACGATCGCAACTGCATATTATATTTCGGGTGTATTATTTAGTTCTTGATATCTGTTATTGAAGTTATTTATGATGTACGAAATAACTCCCATTCATCCACAATTCCATTATAAATTTCATTGGCGTTTT